TGACCGCACTGATTAGTGTTAATTAACTTATTAACTCAGCCCCCTCGCTGCCACAGCCCACCTGCGCGGCTGCCCCCACCCTGGTGCTGAGGTTGGGGTCCAAAGTCGCACGGGCACTGCAAATTCACGTGAAAAAGCGTGATCAGGATCTGGATCATTTGCTCTGCCTATGCTTAATCACCAGTTTCTGGGTTTGCATAATTCGTTTTCCCGTAAAAGTATATTTTTGTGTAGGATGCTTACTAAAAATCATACCGCAAAGAGACTAAGAATGATCAAGATTAACAGTGACCAACAGCTCTCCTGCGAACCAACAAAAAACCAGAGAAGCCCAAACCAAACAGGCAGGCTAAGGGCAGGAGCACATTTCTCTGGTTTTAGTCCCTCGGCTTTGCTGATAGCCTGGGAGACACCCGGGGCCAGATGCATCGCACACAAAGCTCAACACGTGTGCTGTGCATTTGCAATAGTGACTACTAAGCAGTCCCAAGCACCCTTTCAAATTACAACAGCTGTTTACAAGCCAAGCAAACAATACTGTGTTATGGACCTCCCACAGGTGTCTGAGCAGACTAGACTGGCACTGTACTGTACAGATCTTTCAGAACAGTGCTGTTGCTTTTTTGATCTCCCTATAGTGTAATACATATGGCTACAGTATTTCGCATTCACATCTCAATAACTAATGAATGAGCCAAAAGTGTAAGATGACTTGCTTAAGGTAATCCTGAGCATCATGGATTTAGTTTTTAGGCTTTGACTACAAACTCCAGTCTTTTTCTTATAAAGAAAGAAACTTGCTTCATGTAGCAACAGTTTCTATATGAAAGAGTTCGCAGCACTTTAAAGCTGGGTACAAATTACTCCTTCCCAAACACTCAGAAGTCAAGATAACAAAATCAATGACTCGGTGACAGGAGCAGAAAAAAATAGCAGCCATTCCTTGCACTCAGTGCTATTTGAGAGACAACTGTCTCCCTAAAGGAAAGAAATGAACTCACAGGACTACTGCCAATGCACTGAGCCAGCCTGGTTAATCGGCTTCTCGAGCAGAACAGTTCAGTTCGATGAGAGCTCTGTCATGGGAGCCAAATAAAGCACAATGTCACTTTTCAGACCAAGTTCCCAGGCTTCGAATAGTTTCCTGTCAAATCATAAGGCTCATGTACACTTCGTTGTCCTGCACGTCTCAATCTGTTATATCAATACATACTTGCAAAGTGAAAGGAAAGCCTTCCCGTAAGAAAAGGCCCTACACAGTTATAATCCATACAGATATCCCTGTATCCTATTACCTACCATTTAATTCTTTTTTAGCATTAATTATTAGATGATTCAGAAGGAAAAGGTGGAAAAAGGTCTGATTCCAAATTTGCATTCTGAATCCAGAATTGCATTATCCAGCTGTCCTCCCAAAACATCTAAAATACCCACCCTTTTCAACAAACTTTGTCAAAGTACAGAGGTCTAAAAGTTTCTACAACTTTTGTGAAAAACAGCAATGAGGTAAAGGAGGTGCCCATGTCAGTGGCCCACACAGTGTAAGAAGCTGCAGCAAGAGCTCAGGTGTGACCCATTTTGCTTGGACTGCCAATTTACCAACAAAACAAAGAGCTGTATTTTGCTCAGACAATAACTAGAAGGATACTGGATAGAACTTACAGGACAAAAAAGGACCTTTATTTTTTTTTCTAAGAAGATACAAGGAAGGAAGATAAAATCCATAGGAAAATGGATTTAATTCCACTACTCACATAAAAACGGTGGCATTTCTTTTATAACCTTATAAGTGACCTGCAAGAAAGAGGGGTGTCAGGTAGAAATAATGGTTTGTTCTTATTTTTCTTCCCTTCAGACATAAAAAAAAAAAGACTTAAAACCCTCTAGATAGGGAACGCAGTTGTCCTTGTGTAGAAAGGAAGTAATTTGTAAACAATTTGCACTTTAGTGGGAAGGAAAAAAAAACACGTAAATTTGCTACAATATCTACAGTTTTGTTGTTACCACTCAGAACATAGCTCTGTCTCCAGGATTCTAGAGTCTGTGGATCCGATTTTGCCAGATCAGGGTGCACATGGTGCCTGTGAAATGAATACACTTACATCACCAGTATCAAGGAGGAAAAATTTGATAGAGACATAAGCACTTTTATTGAGTATTTAGAAAGGTCCATTCTGTTAGCTTACAAAGTTTTAGAAATAATTACAGATTTGGAAATTAAGAGATGGCGTTCATTAAGATTCATCACTCCTATTGCTTTGATGAAGAGTAGGAAAAACCTTTCAGCTTCTTTTGGAGGAAGCAAAGTAGAACACACACACACACACAGGTCTTGATATTACTAAGATGGAGAGGCGAATGTGGCAAAATGAAAGAATCCAAACTTCTCCAGATTTTTCTGTATCCCTCATGAAGCAAGCAGTTTACAGCATTTAGCTGTTTTCCTTGTTTTCTCCTTAATACACCGTTCTTTTTCCCAGTTATTCTCTCCTATACTGAATTTCTTCCTTAAAAAGTGTTCACTTTAATTGCTAAAGTTTGTGGACTCATGGGAGAAAGGGCAGGAAGTCAGACTTTTGGGATAGGGTAAAAATGTAAAGGTCATTCACACACTCACACACGTACTCTCTCTTGCTCCAAAAATAATACACTATTTGACAGTTTCAGGATTCCGCATGTCCCACTGAAATTTGAAAGCTTATGTGAAACTAGGCCACGTCCTGTAACCTCAAACATTTAGTCTAGGAAAACAGCTCTCAAGTCTCCAGCTCCCACATCGGGTATCGCATGACGTCTGTGCCAAACAGGAGACCTCAAACAGGGGGGTAAAAGAAACGTTGGTAAAATGAGTTGATTAAACTTGGGGAATAACAGTTCAGACTGCTAGTGACAGGTATTATTTTTTTCTGGTTAACTGGCTAGCAAAATATTAAATTATACTCAAAGTATCTATAACATGAGATGGGCAGAATGGTTGAACAACCTACATATGTTCCATGTGGTGGCATGGACAAAGGAGAAAGATGACTCATGCTTTGCAACGAAATTATCTTACCCTCCCCCTCTAATGTGCTAACTAATCAAAAATCACGTGAAGGTTGAGCTCCAATATTTCCCTGTGCTGATGCATTGTAACACATCAGACATCCATTATAAATGATCATTTAAGCTCAATTCTAAACTTTCCAGTAGTTCTACTTGTACTCTGCTCTTTTGGGGAATAAACAATTAATCCTGTGTGGTCTAAAGGATTATTGTTTATTTTCCATCACCCAAACGTACTCTTCTCACCCTCTTTAACTGCAATTTCAGTACCATGCTCAAAGAACATATGGAACGAGATTAGAGGCAGAAGCCAGCTTCACATCTATCAGGAAAACAATTGTTTACTGGCTCCTTTTTATATTGAAATATCCTCTTCTACTGCAAATACAAACCCAAACCATTTTCACAACCTTTTCTGCAGGTCAGTACTAAAGTTGTACCTTCGTCATGGCAGTAGATTTTATTTACTGAACAGCAATGGTCACTAGCAGACTGAAGTTTTAGGCTCTGCTCCAATTCTGAGACATCCTACTGCTGTAGACAAACAATTAACACTTCTGTTTGTCACCCACTTTTATCAGGAAAAAATCTCCAGTTGAATTAGTCTTTCTAAAGCTAAAGAACCTTATGTAGCATATCTGATTTTTACACACACGGAATATTTATATCTTTCTTCTAAGTTATAATGAAGATTTAACAGCAATTCTCTATTCCTGCCATCTACATGCCTATATATTGAATTTCAGCAAAAAGAAATAGGCAAAGATTGTTAAATAGTCTTTGAAATGCAATAATCTCAAAAACAGGCCTAGCTGCAACATCGGACAAGACAACATGAAGCGTATGGGCAGATTTCAGTCAAAGTTAACAAAAGGCTATGTATTTCACCCTTTGCTAGCCCTTCTTAAGAGGAGGGCCATAGGTAGCCTGGACCTCGTTAGCAGCATCATGCCTTCAGAGCTCTTCAAAGACTTGCTAATTGTTCTTCCAGAACTGGCAGAAACTTGAACTCTGACCAGACATACCCACAACACTTGTGGCAGTTTAATGCACTAGAGAAATCAAAGTTGTGTAGTTGCTCTTTTACAAAGAAAAAAAAAGTCTGCTGTTCAGTACATATTAGGCATTTTTATTCCATGACTAATATGACCTTGAGATGATGTACAGAGTCCAATAGTATACATGCTTTTTTAATTATTTAAAGGATAGCTTATATTTGTTTGATTCAAAAATTCTTAGCTAAACAGTTGTATAATAGGATACCCTTACAGAGGCATTGGACTACACATGTGTGCAATTATATTGTAATTATAATTTTAAACTAAATTATATAAATATAAACTGACAGAACAATTAACAGAAAAAGAAAGCAACAAATGGCAAAGTCTTTTCTCTGCTGAATGACATTTATAACAAAACTAGTGAGAGCTCTTAGACAAAAAGGGAATGAATAGCATGTATATTGCTCACTGGGCTTCTGCAAATTGAACCACAACTCCTATCCTCCCTACAAGCCACTCTCCTAGCTCCTACCATCACACAACTGCTTTTGCAATTCTCCCTAGCAGCACATAGGAAAACAGAGATGGCACCATCCCTTTGCACAGACAGCAGTCCTGCATTGTACCACACTGATTCACTGGCCTTGAATGCTGCAGACACAGCCGTAGCTCTGTAATCAAACACAGAAAACACCATAAATTCATGGGAAGAGAGTCCCCTTTTTCTTTGGGAGAGATCCCAATCTACAAGTAAGGAGAAGTTAGTGCAAGTCACTGGGACTGCAGGTTCCTAGATCCCATCTAAGATTTCACTGTGAGTGATCTCCATCTCAAGCAATTAAACCCTGTATAAAAGGTGCAGCAGAATTACAGCGGGACTGCAGTTTGGAGCTGTAACAGCCAAAAGCCATAGCCTCAGGGACCTGAGGAAACAAGGGTGAGGTCTGCGAGGCCATGAAGCTACCTGCCGAGAAGGTGGAGCATTTTTCCTCCTGTCAGCAGCTCAGGAGGAACGCGTGCTGCAGGTGCAGACCACGTTAGAGCCTCAGGTGCCGACATAAACGCTTTAGGCACACGGAACAGAATTATTCCGCAGTTGCACTGAGAGCTGGAAGTCAGTGAGCGACACCGAGCAGGTAAGAGACCGCCCTTACTCTGACAGAGATCTAGAAAACCCTCTCGGAAAGCCTCGGCCTGCCTGTGTAAGGTAACCCCGGCGGGAGCCA